AATGTTTCAGGAGTTTAGTACACAGAATAGGACACATTCTTATTACATAACCGTATTTGAGTTGATGTATATGCTTTAATTTATTATTATTTTTAAATTAACTATTTTTTCCAAAGCATTGTTAGATGCAGTGTTTCCTGTAGTTATGCAAAGATTTGGTTTCAAAAATAGTATCAGTAAACTATTTCTTATGATTTTAAATCTGCATTGAACTTCAGATCAATCTCAAAGTAAAAGGCGGTACTAAAGTCTGATTTTGTGGTGGATGTGTTCAAATTTGATCATCTTAATTCAAGTGATGAAGGATTTTGAAAGTCTAACAGTGTTGAGCACTACTAAAATGATTAAATAAACATTCATTAGAAATTTAGAAAAGTAATCAAAAAGTAATCAAAAGTAATCAGTTACATCAGTTACATAAAGTAATTGAAAAAGTTACACTACTATTACATTTTAAATAGGGTAACTTGTAATCTGTAACCTACTACATTTCCAAAGTAACCTTCCCAACACTGAGGGTCACATATTATGTTTTTAATTTTTTTTAATTGTCATGCAAAATATTAAGTCAAATATTCTATTTTGTATATAATTGAAAAATGACCAATCAAATAAATAATCACAGTCAAAGAGATCTGAATGACACTATATAATTCTATGAATTATGAATTCTATGACTATGAATTCAGATTGAATGGCATTACTCCATTGGCCTATAGGTATATTTTTTGAGTAACATTATGGAATAGTATTTTTTTAATTTGCAACTATTCCTGAAATTATTAAATTAAAATGTCCATGAATTATAATAATTATTAAATTAAACAATAAAAACACCAGCAACAATACCCAACTGGACGCCTTCTGCCCTATTTTGAGGGGGTCATCTTACCCTAAGGGTCTGTCTTTAACTATTCACATCAAAATAATATTCAGTGTCCATAAATACCATTTAACAAATATACATAAAAACATCTTACCCTGTTTGTGTTGCTTTTTCACAGGTATGCTTTCCTCAAAGTGCTTCCAGGAAGTTATGACATCACCGCCTCCCATGCCTCATGGACCATGGAGCAGGTATATAGTACAAACTGTCTTGTTGACAAAACATATTTCTCAGTGACGAATGTGTCAACACCTGAAGAAAGATGTTCATGCCACTACAGTTATGTTTGTTCATACATTACATTTATGTCAAAGCATTTCATTTATATGTAAATGCAGGTTTATTTTCTAAGAAAACTTGGTTCACTATTTGTTCCCTCACAGAGCTCAACCACTGTGGTTGTGTCAAATGAAAATGCCCCCGCCGCAGTTCCTCTTGTGGTAAAGGGCTATGATGTCTCTGGAGAGGTGCAGAGTGATAGTGAACCCATGAAAGGAGTCAGCTTCCTCCTTTACTCTGCCAGTGTAACACAGGAGGTAAAAGGTTTTATTAGATTCATAGCCTGACCACAAAAACATGGTCCACACAAAATAACTTTGAATGAAAGCCATTCCATAATTTGATAATGTCTTCTAATGTTCACAAACTCATGATCTGTCATCCAGTAGACTTTAAACTAATTGATGATTTATTCAGGATATCAATGGCTGCAATGTGGCTCCTGTGGATGGGGCTTTAGTTGGCGACCCCTCCCTTGTGTATTTGTGCAGTTCCCAATCTCGTGAGGATGGCACTTTCTCATTCCCCTGCCTTC